ATGATATGAGAATAGAAGGAAACCTGCAGCGGGGTGAAGGGACTTTGCTTAGTCTGGCATGATTTCAATAAAACACAAGGACATGATGCTTATTATAGCTTTGCAGATTTGTACTCATTTCCTTCAGTAGGTGTAAGTTATACAACACTTTGATGTTGTACAGTCTGTGTCAGAGGAACAGTTAGTAGTTGGGTTCTTTTTTTGGTACCAGCCAAAAAGTGTTCGTTACACTGAGCATCAAAAGCTGTGGGAGTTTGTATCAAATGTCCGATCAGGGTTATACTTCTTCTTTGATCAGATAGTTTTATCAGATAATTCTGTATATTTTAGGGCTGTTTTATTTATGCAAAGTTCTTGACTGCTGCATGTGTTTCACAACATTTAATATTAAAAGAACTTTGGGTTTTTTTGTTACATGAAAAAGAGAAATTGCATTTTTGACCAACTGGAGTCAGTGCAAAAAGCTGTTAGCACAACAACAACTACTATTTAAACACTGGAAAAATGCAATTTAATTTAAAGGTCTGGTACTCCAGCAGGGAGCGTGAGTAAAAAGCTCATCCAGCACCTCCAGGATGTTGCAACTGCAACACCTGTGAAATCTGCACAACTTTGCAATTTTCTCCGATCACCGCAACTTTCCTGCCAATCTGAACTAGCCGCCTCGGTTTCCCACAAGTTTCACCAATCACAACAGTCCCCCACAAAACGTCACCAAGCCCACTTCCTCGTTCTGGCTGTGAAGACGCAGACGTGGATCACGAATGCCTCGCGTGTACCAACAAAAATTACTGCTAGAGACCATGTAAGGAAATTCACTTATGTCCACCGTGTGCGACCACAAACACCTGTTCTACCACAAAAGACACCAGTGGACAACAGACAAATCACCAAGACGGAGGCTGTTGTTTAACAATCTATTGCACATGCTCAAAGGTTCAAGATGATTAAATTAAACATGCATTGTTAGTGGTGATGTTAATAGGGTTGGGTATCAGCACTCAATACCTTTAGGGCATTGATCAAAATATCCGAGTACCAAGTAGTATTGAAACTGTTCCAGTCAAACAACACCTGCATTTGATCTTTATTGTAGCCAGATCTGGAAAAACTATTGCTATTTGCATGGTTGTGCTCGCAGCCAATCAGCACAAGCTTTCTTTTGTTAAATGCAACTTGTGATTGGCCCACTACCACAGCTGCTAAAACCCATACAGTCAGTGGTGTGGTGAAATCGAGATGCTACCGATACTACACGCCCATGGCATCCTGTGGGATTTTACACAACTGAATACTTACGTTCACATAATGGATGTCGAATAAAGTAGAACAAAAGGTATCAGATGAAGTACTCTACCAGTATTGGCATCACTTCAAGAGAAGCTGTGTTGGTACTGATATCGTAATTTTTTTAAACGTTACTCAGCCGTTAACTTAAGTCTAGCAAAAATCACATCATCAGAATAGCGCGATTTGACTCTCACTGCAACAAGTTGCCTTTGATCTTTAATAAATTTTTTTAAAAAACTATTTAGCAATTTTAATTGCTTCCAGAATTTCATTGCTAAAAAAGCAACATGCACCTGATTTTTTTTATAAAAGCTGCTGTGAAATATGAAATTTTGGACGGCAAAAATCCCAATAAAGCCTGTGAAATCCTGAAGGGACTGTGTACTGATCTACAGCATGCCCTGTTGACCTGTCAATAAAACTAGACTGTTGTGGTGTTGGTGAAGAGATCAGTCATCCAGGTCATGGTAATCTTTAAGAAACTCAAGCAGGTCCAGTTGTCTATGACACAGCACTTAAGATAGACTGTTGTTCCTTTTGCAAACCCAAAATGGAGGAAACAAGCGAGCCATGCTGAACAGATAATCACAACAACAAACAATCTGTGGAGTCAAGCGCAGGAGCAATTTGGATTCAACATTCGTGCATGAAGGCAAAGCTGTTTGTTGCCTTAGAGCAACGTTAGCTTGTCACTCCCTGCAGCACCAAATGCGCCACGAAAGAACAAAAACCAACATCAAAGTTTGGAATTAGGCTGCAGGTGTTCACTTTGAATTAAGTTAAATTATATTTGTGTTAGGTCTCATGCCTTCAAAGACGACTTTTTCATAAACTGACAAGTGTAGCAATGACATGCTGGTCACAAGCAGCAGCCTGAAAAATGAAGCCAATGTGAAAGTGCCAAAATCTGCAGTTCCTCTAATGACCACTTGAGGCTGGCTCCAAGAGCGAGTCACTCCCCACAGACCCCCATGTTAAAATGACACTGGCCTTCAAACAATGGAAAGAACCAGGAAGTCCAAAGTGAAGACTATTTGCATGACCCAGAATTTGTTAATTTGTCCTGAGGAGACCGAAATAAATTGTGCTGCGTCACTCTGTGGTGTGAGCACGACTGTTAGGCCGGGGTATGGTTGCAACAAACGACTTCATATGACTTGTCGTCCGCCGAGTGTTTACAGGTCTTTCAAACGACAAACGAAACTTGTAGTCAGGATGAAAACGCTGCCACTGTAAAGATGGATGAGACCAAGCGGTCTGAAGCTCGGAAGCTAAAGAAAAAATGAAGCCAACACAGAAGTGCCAAAAACTGCAGTTCCTCTAATGTCCACTTGAGGCTGAGTGGGTCTACCCATGTTTAAATGTCCAACTTTACAGCAGAAATAAACATGTTTACAGCCTGGCACAAAAACAGTTTTGGTCTCTGTAGCTAATTTCAACATTCATGACAACTGTACAGGAAGTGATTTTTTTATATAACTCACTCGTTTACATTTTCATTAAGACTTAAAGTTACAGACATTTAAGGGCGGGGCTGCTTTAAGTGAAAGGCTGTCTGTGAGGCGTTACTAGTCTATCAGTACGACCCACCCCTCGCTCCTCCACAGCTCCACCCTCTCATCCAAATATGGTGGCTTCTGGCTCCAAAACCAACAAGATGGCGACGGCCGTAATGCCAAAATCGAGGCTTCAAAACAGGAGTCCACAATCCAGTGGGTGACGATGTCATCGTGGCTACATCCATTATTTTTATACAATCTATGGCTGGTTACTGTGACTTGACAGATGTGTATTAATTTCCTTCAGCACTTACGTGGTAACATTTGTTTAGAGCTGCAGCTAACAGTTATGTAATCACATTTTATCTGATAAATTAATCCCACAATAATGAATGATTTACAACAATTAAATTCATCCATCAGGATTTCCCAGAGGCCACGATGATGTCTTTAAAGAGCTCGTTTTGTCCAACCAACTATTCAAAACCAAAAAATATTCCATTTACAATCATATTAAACTGATAAAAGGCAGCAAACCTCAAAGTGGAGAATCTGGAACCAACAAATGTTTGGCATTACTACCTGATACACAACCAATGATTGTGGAAAAACATCTGTCACACAGAGTCCGAGGCGATGTCATCAGACTGACCAACTGTCCAAAATTAAAAATGCGTTGAATTTAGGAACATATCAGCAGCACGGTCTCATGTATGATGAACTGGATCTGAAGAACTTCCAGCATTGTTAATTTATAAACGACTTGGAGATGCATCGATTATCAAAATCTGTATTCGACCACTCGTTGCAGCACTAATAAATTATTTGTGTCAACATTATGAGGCTTCATGCTTCACACAGCTGCAGCACGACCACGTACCAGGCCTTGAGTCGACTCACAGAAGTAATTTCATTGTCGTACTCCAAAAAGTCCAGACTACAACTTTACGTGTTGAATAATCAACCAATTGATCAGCCGACCATCCGTTCAGCTCAGATCTGTGTGTGATCTGTGTGTGTTGTTTCCTGCGCCGTACAACATCAATGAATGACAAGAGAAACCTACTTCTGCTCTCAGGAAAGTCCCAAACCGACTCATTCATCTACAAAGAAAAAAAAATGTCTGTGCATTATTCATCATCATGAACTGGCTGCAACAAGACAGTTCCTCTGTGTAGGTGGGTGGACAATTGACTGTACCAGATAAACACTGTGAGGCTCTGACCATCGGGGGCTCTGTCTCCTACCTGTTCACGTCCTGTACAGCCCCTGACTCTGTGTGTGTGTGTGTGTGTGTGTGTGTGTGTGTGTGCGTGTGCTGCATGTTGTGCAATGAACCAGCCTCACTTTGGACTTCTTGGAAAACACGGTACAAGGGAGGAAAAACGCCTGAGCTGCTTTCACTGCAGCTGCTTTTTTTCTCCTGCAAGCTGCATTCACTGCTGATGTGTGAGAGCTCTGAGGCTGCAGGACGTTGTTCCACAGCTCGTGTTGTTGTTGCTGCACGGTGATAAAAGTTGGGGTCAAAGTGTGACACGCACGCTTTCGTACGCATGCTGAGGACAGAGCAGAACATCAGTGGACACGCACCCAGGGGTTTGACACATATCCAGTTGCCTGCAGCTGACAGAATGGGACTGTTTGCTTGGAGACTTGTGTTTTAATAGCCTGAAGAAGCCCCCTGTTCTTGAACTCACCACTGCTTCAATGCTCACAACACATTTCTATTATTAGATTTTCATTTTCTGTCCCATAAGCAGGAACAAATCAGCAGCCAATAAACACTCAAAGTTGCCCACTGACAGCTGCAGGCAGGCTGTCACGTCATGTTGCCCTCCTGCACCAAACCACGCATATTTGGAGCACTGCACGCGACATGGCTGTCAGTATTTACCTTGAGCCATACATCAACTCGTGCAGACTTTATTATAAAGAGTTGCAGTGTCCTTGTCTATCTCGTGACTATTAAAGGCGCCCCACATCCCTGCCTGTGCGCCGCTAATAACGTCAATATGAGTGAGTACACACAGCATCGTCTTACCAGGAACTGTGCAAAGGGGAAGATCTTAAACAGGAAATGCAACTGACCCTTCTAAACCATGTAACTTTAAAATGCACCGGCCGTGCTCGAGCTGCAGCGGTGCATGTTGCCAACCGTGCAGCCGTGATTGCACGTCGGTAGTTTTGCACAGATCGGTTTCATATTCTTACCTCCCTTTGGCTGAGACATTTCCCCTTTGCTTTGATGAGGGGGAGGGGAAGCACAAAAGACTTTGCCTTCTTTCTCACTCCCTCCCTCCATCGCCCTCGCACTGGAGCTTCAGCGGCTTGCTTTGCAACAAAGATGCAAAATACAAGCCTCGATCTTCATGCACTTGGAGCCTTTTTGCGTCCGGAGCGTGCGTGTCCGTGCACGGAGCGCTGTTACAATTGCACAGGCTCCGCAGGCGTCGGGAAAAGAGGTAATTTTGCAATTGCACTGCAAAGAATTCTCCGCAGCACTTACATGATGGGCCAAGGCTGGCAGCTGAAAGCTCCTAACTTGGATCAGTGTGAGCCCCTGCGAGAGAACGTTCTTCCTGCTTGGAGCGCAAAGGATCATGGGAAACGTAGTCTGTGGCGATACGACAGCGAACTCACATGTCTCAGTGCTCGTTTAGTTTTGACTGTGTGTGTTTATAGGTTTAATGAGGTGTGCAGTGTGTGTGTGTGTGTGTGTGTGTGTGTGCAGTGAGGAAGAGTGACGTTTATACAAACAACATATTTAAGCACAGTTTTTTTTATGAGCTAAATTACTAAATTATTATAAATCAAATTATAAATTCAAATATTGTATCTGCCGAGGTGGAGCTCAGTTTGATACTTTACACACAGTCTGGTGGTTTAATTTTAACAATGCATCACATTATATAAATTATAATCACGTGGGATTTTATTATTCTGTTTACAACATCTGTTACGCCAGTATTTCTCCTGACCTGTACCAGGCGTCTGGTGAAAGACAGTGTCACATGTTGAACAGCAGAGGTGGGACCAAGTCATTGTTTTGCAAGTCTCAAGTAAGTCTCAAGTCTCTGAACTCAAGCTCCAAGTCCTAAACTTTAAGTTTCCAGTCCTAAACAAGTCATAATGCGCTCTTCAACAAATCTAATTCCAATTTAATGATATACACAATTTAAAATAATCATATATATATATATATATGTAATTATATGACAGAAAGTAAGTAAAAGCATAATCGATCCTCTTTAATAAAAACACACAGTTCTGCTGAGCTATAAGAGGATGCATATTATTCACATGAAACATGCACAGTTGAGCCAACGACTGATGCTTTCCCTTTTCTGAAAAGGCCAATGTGCAGAATATGTTTTAAGAACAACCCTCAACTGTCCATAAAGTGTTCAAGAGGAACTGAAATAACTGAATACTGACATGAAACGAGTCTCCTCAACAGATAATGTACTTTTTTTAGTATTAGTATCATACAAGTAAAGTGTGTCATTATCTGTTCTCATGATGAAGGAAAATCCTCTGTGTTTAATTAATTACTCCTGGGATTTAAAATGGTCTGAAGCTCAATTCTGAGTCTGTTCTGGAAATACTTTTCTCATAGGTTATAAATGTTGCAACATCTGATCATTCCTATCAATTTCAGGCTTAAAAATAACAACTTCCGGTTTAAATCCCGCCCACTTCTATCATAAACTCCGCCCATTCCCAGTACAAATACAGATCATTTGATTGGTTGAACAGATACAGATAATGGTGTACTTGTTCTTCCCATGTATATATACATATACATATATATATATATTAATGTTGTATTTACTATTATTTTATTTTTTATTCATATATATAAATATATATATTGTATACTAATTTACTCTCACCAACACCTACAGTATATATTATGTATTAATTCAACATATTATGCACATAACGTATGTTACTCTTATTCTTGTATGTAAATTTTGTAGTTAACATTATAGCAAAATACATATTTTATATTTCTGAATGTAACATACTGGTTTATACAGTGTGATGTAGCACATATCTGTAGATCTGTACGCACTTACAGACGCAGCACAGTGAGCAGATTCTTATTCTTAATTTCTATTATATATTTTGTATTTCTATTTCTATTTCTAATTTTTATTTATCTTTTTATTTTATGTATAACTATATATTTACATACTCTTTTTCTTACTTATAATTCTGTACTTTTTTACATTGGAGTGACTAATGAATCACAATTTCCCCTCGGGGATCAATAAGGTAATAACAAAGTATTTCTGATTTTGAC